TTTTTTTTTTTTTTTTTTTTTTTTTTTGGTACTGGGGATTGAACTCAGGACCTTGTGCTTGTGAAGCAGGCGTGGTGCCACTGTGCTAAATCCCTGGCCCACTGTGTTGCTATTTTTATACTTTATCCTTCTCTGTAGTCCTTTGTATCAAGGATGGATCAATATTATTAAATTTCTTTTTTGTTTTTTGTTTCTTGAGACAGGGTCTTGCTACTTAATGTGTAGCCCAGGCTGGCCTTGAACTTCTCAAACTTGCCACAATCCTCCTGCCTTGGCCTCCTGAGTGCTGAGATTACAGATATATGCTGTTTTATATCTCAGCTCTTTTTAAAATCTTTTTTGAAATTTCATTTCTTTTTTTTTTTTTTTGAAGACAGGATTTCACTATGTAGTTCAGACTGCCCTAGAACTCACTATGTTGCCCAGGCTGGTCTCGAACCAGCCTCTTGCCTCAGCCTCCCTAGTGCTGGGATTATAGATGTGTGCCACCATACCTGGTGAAGTTTCTGATTTTTGATCTATCAGCGAGATGGTCATACAATGTAAAAATATTAAATATTTTAACATCAGAAATAGTTGATTTTTGGGCCAGGGATTTAGCTCAGTGGCAGCTTGCCTGCCTCACAAGCGCAAGGTCCTGAGTTTGATCTCCGCTACCAAAAAATGAATAGTTAATTTTTTGTCTCTGGAATAATTTGTCTTTTTGTACGTGATTATGTTTTATATCTTGATCACTATAGTTAAGTGGAAGTTAACTATAGTTAACTATAGTTAAGGGTGATGTGGAATGTGTCAGCTGATTTGGTTATGTTATTTGATTGTGTACTTTCTTTTTTTTTCCTCCAGCAGTACAAGTTTCTGCGCTTTAGGAGATCTCTGCTCTTAATAGTTAAGCATAGTTGTATGGAATCATTGTTCCTGGTTAGAAATTTCTGCATCGTGTATTATTTTCTTGGTAAGAATTTCCACTTTTGGGAGGGAGAGGTGGGGAAGGGGATGTAAAAAGAATTGAGATGTGTTATGTGCTTGTACCAGCTCCCCAAGATGAGTGTACTCATTATGTACTGCAAACATGTAGTAATGAAAATTTAAACATTTTTCTTCCTTTTAGAATAGTGTATTATCAGTACAGAACTCAGAAATTTCAGGTTACAAAATCATTTATTATTGTGTTTGTTATAGGTATGTGATTAGCCCAGTGGATATGTTGTTTAAATTGTCAAAGAGTACTTATTCAATTAAGGGAAAATGTTATTAAAGAAATGTGGTTATGCATGTAATGAGGGACCAGGCTACATAGTAAGTTCAAGGACAGCCTTGTGCAAGGCCTTGGGTTCAATCCCCAGCACTAGGGTAGGGGAAGAACCCCTGGTAAATGTAATTAAATATGGTTAAGCCACTTAAAGAAAGGGAATTTTGTCTTGTGCTATAAGAGGGATAAATCTTGAGGTCATTATGCTCACTAAAATAACCCAATCACAAAAATAAAAATACTTATGGGAGGGCTCTAAAGTGGTCACACTCTGAGAAACACCAGGTAGAGTGGTAGTTACTGGGGGCTGAGGAAATGGGGAAGGAGAGGAATTGTTCAGTCATGCAAGATGGAAAAGTTCTGGAGATCTGTTGCTTGACAGTGTGAACCTGGTTAAGACTACTGTGTTGCACACTGAAAAGTAGTGAACAATAAAATAGGTATTCTTTTTTAAAAAAAGAAAATATTGTATGCCATTTGGCCATTTATAAGTTTGTATCTTGACGCTGATACGGCAGAAATACCTTATTCATAAGGAAACTTTCCAGTATTTATCAACATGAATTTTAAAAAGCTCGACTTACTCCTCAGCATTGTGAATAGTACAAGTTGAAAACATTTATTGTTGTCATCGCCACATAATGACATAAATCCAACATTCGAAAGTATTGGTTTTAGACTAGAACTTTTTTTAATCCTATTTTTTCCCATAAATATCACAGATAGTTCTGACTGCAAGACCCATCAACTGTGTTTACTTTTGCACTTGTAGTTTATAGAATCCATTTTTTCTGCATAGCTCTTGCTATTGTCATTCTGACAATAATGTGTTCCTGAAATGTGCCCTAAGCTGCTGCAGCTGGTCTGGATCTTGCCTAAGAGTTGTGTGTTTATGGTCACCTCATTCTTCTGTAACTCTTTTTAGATACAGTTTTCAGCATTGTTGCTTTTTTTTTGCTGTGCTTTGACCTTTTGAGGACAGTTTGTTCTTTTCCCTGTTCCTTTTTATGTTATGTCATGGATTTATCATGGGAGACAGGAGGCAGTAGACTGACATGCTTTGCTGTCTGTCTGATGAGCCAGACCAGTGGTGATGGGACTGCTTGCAGATCATGGAGCACATCTATTACCTGAGATTGATTTGTGTGCTGAAAAGGTAGAGGCTGTCTATGCTGTCACCATTGTAGCTGAAATTTCAAGTGTTGTTGGGTACTGATTTTTTTTGTTTTTTTGGTACCGGAGATTAAACTTGGGACCTTGGCACTTGTAAGGCAGGTGGCAGCACCATTGAGCTAAATCCCTGGCCCTAGTACTAATTTTTAAAATCATGCTAATTGAAATATTACATACCAGAATTGTAAAAAGCATGGGCTGTCTGTCTGTAGAAATTATTCTCTTTTCCTACCGTTCCTGTAGTAGTATAGTATTTTCCTGCCCTTCCCATAGTAGTGTAGTATTTTGCCTTAGGTTTTGGTGTCTACTATGACCTCAGTCTAAAGCATGATTAAGATATGTTTTATTAGCTTTTCATATTCACAATTTGAAATTTTTTCTCTTCAGGTTATATTCCCAAAGCTTGGATTAGCACAGCTATGGACCTTCACACAGATGAGTAAGTGATAGTTAAAAAGTCTAATTTTAGTTCTGTTGCTATCCTTAGATATCTGCTGCTTTTTAGATGCTTTGCTTAGATATAGCCTTTAAATCTCTTTTTAACAAATTGAAATAAAAACAAAGCTACAGAGGGAGACAGTGTAAGAAGAGGGTACCTCCCCCACCCCGTGCTATGTGTGGCCTAGAAGACCTGTGTGACCTCTGCCATGGGGTCAAGCTGAAGCCCAGCCTGTAATGTATTTCTCACCTGTCCTGTTTAGTTCCTGAACATTGAATGCTATAGTCAGTTGCTTCATCTGCTTTAACTGTGTCTCCTTAACAGTGCTTCAAGGTGATCCTTTTAGTACTTATTTGAAAATTTAACTATTTAAGTTTTTCTAAGAGAAAAAGTATTGAATTTATTTTGAATACTTGGTTTTGTTGTTTATTTGTTTTTAATGCCAGGGATTGAACTCAGGACCTTGCACTTGCAAGGCAGGTATGGTGCCACTGAGCTAAATCCCCAGCCCTTGAATACTCAGGGGTTTTTTTTGTTTTTTTTTTGGTACTGGGGATCGAACTCAGGTCCTTGTGCTTGCAAGGCAGGTGGCAGAACCACTGAGCTAAATCCCTGGCCCTCAAAGTTTTTATAGTATAAAATTTCAAAGTTGTATAAAAACTTTTGTCCCTGTCTTCAATCATGTAGTTATGCTCTCCAGAGATAAGCAGTGATGACCTGTATTTTTGGTTACTGTTCAATTGGTTTTATATTAAGTAAAAGTGAACTTTTTAAAATGTATGGACCATCTTCTCTTTAGCAACCCTTCAGTCTGTATGTTTTTGTTTTGATTTTGCAGTACTGGGGATTGAACCCACAGCCTTGATACTGAGCTACAACTTCAGCCCCTTTTTTGGAAACAGGGTCTGGCTAAGTTACCCAGGCTGGCTTCAAGCTTGCAACCCTCCTGCTTCCAAGGGTCTTCCAGAATGCCAGGATTATAGGCATGCACCTCCACACCTGGCTCATATGTGGTATTTTATATGCATCAGTGGTGTGGCATTCTCATTTTGCCTATGAGGCAACCAAAATTGAGCAAGGTGGCAAGCTTGTTGCCACCTTGCTCTCTGGCAACACTGGGATTACCAGTGTTACTACCTCACGTGCTTTGCACATAGATCAGGGTTTAATGTGTATTTGCCCGATAAATGTCAGTTTCCCTCAGTGTTTGTTCTTTTATTATTTATTGGTTTTTGTACCATGAGATTTTGTATCATACATGGAATTCATTGATACCAGTTTTGGGGAGTGGGAATCTTGGCATGTATGTGTATATTTAAGAGATTAGGGTAATTAAATGTATGAGGTACAATCAAAATATATGGTGAATGTTTAAATTATAAAGACTGTATTATGTTAAGGAGCACAGTTCCACTAACCTCCCTCACAGTACTCTCCCTTACTTCATAGTTGTCTCATTCTTACTTCTGAAGCACTTCTGGAAGTCTTCTTTGGTGAATATCTTTGCAAGGTGTGATAAAGAATACAATGAATACTGCTACAGAGTCAGCCAGTGAAAAGGCAGGCTTGTAAAAACATTGCGGTGTATCCTCATTCACTTCTGGATCTGGCCCTGTGTGGCTTCTGGCTCTAGCTTTTTTCCCCAAATTGAAGTGGCCATGAAAGAAAAACATTTTGAGTTGATTCAAGGCATTGGGGCCCTGGCAGTACAACTAAAGACATTCATGAAAGAGGACTCCCAGAACTGCTTCAGGAAGTGGCAAGAATGACGGGATAAGTATGTGTGAAGTGAGGGAGTTAATGGCAATGTATTTTTATAGTAATTTTTAAAAAATGTAATTATTTACCATACAGCTTGTGAATTTCAATTCCACACCTTTTGTTTTGTTTTTTTGAGACAGCATCTAGTTTTGTACTTCGGGCTGGCCTTGTCCTTACTTTGTAGAGTGCGAGTTTATGCCATGATTTCGTGGATAAGGAGCAGGAGGGTAGAATAGGTGGAGTTATTTAACTAATCACAACGCTTATTAATCAGTCAGATATTCAAGCCTGGCTTTCACAATTGCTGGTTGTATGATTGTAGGATTTGACTAGGCTAATTGATCTATTCAAGGTTTTGGTAAGATTTCACAACTTGTAGTTTTATTTAGCATTCAGTTAGTTTCTTAAATTGTTTAAAAATTCAGGTCATTGTATTAGTAGCCTGTGTCTTTAACTACTGTGAAAATTTATCAGGTAGTATATAGATAAAGCTGAAATCTGGTGCAAAAGAGGTCCTGGTCATGTTTAGTTTTTTTTATTTGTTTGTGTTTTTGTTTTTTTGTTTTTTGAGAGTGGGTCTTGCTATGTAGTTCAGGCTGGCCTTGAACTCACTATGTAGCTCAGGCTAACCTTGAACTCATGGTGATTCTCTTTCCTCAGTCTCCCAAGTTCTGGGATTATAGGCATGTATCACCATGGCTGGTGTGATTAATGTTTTTTAAGTATTAAACTACAAAACAATAGTAATAAGCTTGCAACCAGCCTAAGTGGTTAGGCTTACAGGCTTGGCTCATTCTCCACAATAAATGACAGAGAAAATTTGGAACACAAGAAATTAATTATAGGGCCTTTGTAGGCCTATGTTTCCTCTTAGTCTGCCTTTTGTACCTACTGAGAAAGTATTAGGACAAGGTCTCCATAAGGATACAAAAGAAGAGGAATCTATAACATTGTTATTTAGAAATAGGATTTCTCAGTGTGGAGTCCAAAAACTGTTAAATTCTTAGATTGTATTTTCTTCATGAGATTAAACAATGCTTTCTGTTTTCATAGGCAGTCTCATAGACCCCTCGACACAATAAGTGGTCTCTTCAATCTTTCATTACTCTACCATGTCTGGCTCTGTGGTGTCTTCCTCCTGATGACTTGGTACATCACATGGATACTCTTCAAAATCTATTCCACAGAGGTTAGCATTGAGTTTTTTTTTGTTAATACTTTTGTGTTTCCAAGTGCACAAATTGACTTTTAATAGAGCACTGATCAGTATGCTGTGCCTAAAGCCACTTCAGTAAGTTGGATTTCAGTCTCTTCCGAGACTTTATTAGAGGCGTATCATCTATGCTCATCATTTGCTTTGTATTTTTTTTCCCCCAAGGAACATCATTGGTGCTCACTTAATTTTTGGATATTAAGCTAAATGGTACATACTTATGCTTTATTTACAGTCTAATTCACTCCTGGAGCCTTCTGTCTCTTTATTAAGTACATAGTGAATGGGCCTGAATTTTTAATTAATTTTGTATCCAATCGACATAGATGCTATTAACATATTTAAGTATGACAATAAAATATGTTTCCTGAAGGAAAGTTTTAAAATCTATCCTGAAGAAATGATTTTGAAAATTGAAATGATCTTCTGAATAATTCCCACGCAAGTTTTAAGGCAGGAATTATGTTGTTTTTAATCATCCAGTTATTTATCTTAGAAAATGCATATTTCTCTTTCGTGTTACAATCTCAGTAGGCTTGTATTTTTTCAATGGCTTTGGAAAATATTTGTTTCAGAAATTTGCTTTTTTTGAAAATTAGAGCCTAATAAAATTAGGACAGTAACCTTGTTAAGATACTGTGTTTGGGTTTATATAACTATAACCTGTTTTTTGAAGGGATATTAAAGATACTAATTTGGTTATATTGTCTCCTTTTGTAATTATAGTTATTGCTTTTTTGGGGGGGGGGTTGTTTTTGAGACAGGGTCTCACTGTGTAGTTGAGACTGACCTGGAACTCATTATGTAACCCAGGCTGGTCTCAAACTCACAGCGATCCTCCTGCCTCAGCCTCCTGAGTGCTGGGATTACAGGCGTGTGCCACCATGCCCGGCTAGTTATTGCTTTCTTAATGAATATAACAAAGTCATAAAAATAATTATTTTTATATTCTTTATATTTGATCATACATGATAGGCTCACGTGTTTCCTGTTCAACCACCATTTGTGGAAGAGTCAGAGGAATGCCTCCCAAAAGTTTTAAACAGTAATCCTCCCCTCATCATAAAGGTACCAGAGCTTTGCATTTTGTATATTTACAGTCATCTACAACTTAGCTTACAGAGTAGACTTAATATTTAGGAATTTAGATACAGTTTTTGAGGATCTGCAGTATTCTAGTACTGGTGTTATAAAAATCACCCTGCTGATGCTGTTTTTCAGTTTTTCTTCCAAGTGACTAAAATGCAAGTGTAAAGTGTACCGTGCATCTACAGCCTAGTGATTTTTTTTTTTTTTTTTTGAAATGGGGTGTCACTGTGTGGCACACAGATTGGTCTTGAACTCCTAGCCCCCTGAGTAGCTGGGACTACAAGGATGTAACACTGTGCCCAGCTAAGCAAGCTAATTCTGTGTTAGAAAAGTTACAAAATACTTTCAACTGTAAAATACATTGCTGTCTAACTGTTCAGGGAACCAAAGCAAAAACCCTTGATTTTTTTAATCACTGGATCAAATTGTGTTTCTATTTATGTTGTATTTTTTGGCTTTTATGATCAAAGGTGATACTGCTTGGAAGTATGTATATATTTAGTGAACTCTCTTTAAATATGAATTACTGATAATGATTCTAAAACATATTATAATCAGGAGTTTAAAGAAGTTGCAGTAAGTTTACAAATCAATCAATTGAGAATAAATTGTTTTGCTTTTGAAATTTTAAAGTAGAGCTACATGTGTCATCCTGTTAAAGAATCGTAGTTCTTTAAAAAGAATGAAAAGAACTCAGGTTAGAATGGTTAGAAGTCAGAGGTTTGATTATATTCTAAAGAAGTTATAAACAAATAAACTACTGAGGCTCTAATTGCTTTTAAATATCAGTTGTGATTGATTTGTTAGATAAACTTAGAAATATCAGTTACTCATTTGGTTACTACCAAGTCTTTATTTAGTGGACAAGAGTCTGTCACTGCTCATTGTGTGGGGAGGAATAATGAATGAGACCTAGCACAGCCTACTAGAAAGGCAGACACACAGATAATCAAAACTCACTATGGCAAGTGGGACAGATAGAAGAAAAGTTCACTTGAGGGGTGATACTTTGAAGGATGAGTAAAGAGGTTGCCAGGGGATAAAAAGGAAGGATTTCAGTGAAAAAGCAACAGATATGTGTCCCATGAGTGTGGAACGCTGAATTTGGATGTGTTCCCTTTTCTTAAGGGTCTCAGGTTTTAGAGGGTGGAACTAGGTCAAAACCAGTAAACAGGCTCTGCAGTGCATTATGCTAAGCACCACAGTCCAGAGCTGTGTGTGTCTGTCTGTGTTTTCATGAGGGAGGCCAAGCAAATTTCCAGAGGAAGTGATGTTTCAGTTCCCACCACAGAGGTAGGAAAGAACACACAGAGTTCTGTAGTTCTTGTGTCTAGCTGGAGCCTGCTATGGATTGGGAGGGAAGAGACAGGAAAGTTTTGGAAGTCTAGGAAGGAAGGCTGTGGTTCTGAAATACATCTTTCATGAAAAAGTCCATCTGATTTTCCTTTAGTTATGTAGCCTGATTCATAAATTAGGTTTTGTTTGGATATTTTAAAAAATTAAATAATGTGTATTGTTTTCCCCCTTTTAGTATTTAGCCTTGCAAGACCTGATGTTGCTTTCTCAATATTCCTCTTCTCGAAGACAAGAAGTTTTTAGCCTTAGCCAACCAGGTATTGCTAAAATTAATAGTACTGATTAGGCATGTGTGTGCAGAAAGTGCTTTGGTGAGAGATGTAGTTAATTAAATATCACATCAGTGGTAAATGAATTATTGATTTAAGTCATATAACATCTTAAGTGTTTGGCTTGCTCTGGGTAGAATTTATGTCACTAGGAAAAGTATTTATTTTTAAATTTTTATTTCCTTTAGCTTCCTCAATACCTTGATTTAAAGAAATTATGTAGTAGATTGATAGTTTTAGAGCAGAACTGTATGGTTTAAGAATCAAGAAGTTAAAAAAAAAAAAAAGAATCCTGAAAGTTTTAATGCTACACTGAGTTTTAAAAGTAAGATAATCTGGCCAGGCGTAATAGTGCATGCCTGTCAACCCAGCATTTGAGGCTGAGACAGGAAGATTGCCATGAGTTCAAGGCCATCCTGGGCTGCATAGTGAGTTCAAGGCCAGTCTGAACTACACAGCAAAGCCCTGTGTCAAAAAACCAAAGAAAGGCAGTCTAATCCTTAGATGAGAAACCTAAATTTTAAAGAGAGTAAGGGACTTAAAGTAAATGTCAATAGTGGGAGTAAGAATTCCGCTCCCAAGTACAGAGCTCTTGCCTTGCTTTTGCTTGCTTGCTTGCTTGCTTGCTTATTTATTTATTTATAGTACTGGGGGTCAACTCAGGTCCTGCTGCTTGCGAGGAAGGCAGTGTTTTTATTTTAGAGACAAAGACTTACTGTGTCAACACCCAGGCTAGCGTTGAGCTCATGGTCTTTCTGCTTCAGCCTCCCAAGTTCTGGGATTATAGGCAGGTGCCACCATGCTTAGCTTCTGACTTCCTTTTAAAAAAACAAACTAAGAACAAATTGCATTTGTTGGTAACCCAGGGATGCTCTTGGCAACCCTGACACACTTCTCCACTGCTGCTTGCCAAGCTGTTCAAGACTGATATTGCCAGGGCTCTGTCTTGTTCCTACAGGGGAAACAGTGGCTGCCAGTGGAGAACAGAGAACCTAGGTAGCTTTCCCTCCTCTTCCTAATTATCTCTGTTTTGCCAAACTTGCCAATGCCCAGATTGTTAAAAAAACAAAAACAAAAAACACCCTGCTACAATTAAATATAGTATGGAAATGAAAACCAGTTATAAAATATAATTGATTGGAGTCACTCTGAATTTTGTATGAGAAATACAGAGTTGACTGGAAGATAAACTGTAACAATACTTTTCTGTCACACTTGGATTTTCCTGTGCTGTGCCAATGAGTATTCATTCAAAGGCATGTTATGTAAATTTAATGGGAGTCTTGCACAGTTCCTAGAGGTTGTGAGCAATATACAGTGTCATAAGGCATACTGATGGCATATTATGTTTGTGTGTTTGCAGGTTAAGGGATATTTCTCTTGAGTTACGAAAGGGGGAAGTATTTAAGGAGAGTTCCAAATATAGAGGGAGTGGTTGACATACAAAATGGGGAAACCAGCTTTCAGTAGCCTTCTGTTACTCAATATATATTGAATCTTGCTTGATTTTTACATAACTGTAGAGCAAAAGTTTTAGAAAATCAAAAGATAGCTCAGGAGGCTAAGGCAGGAAGATCATAAATTTGTGGCCTACCTGGGCAACTTAGTGAGACCCGTCTCAAAATTAAAAAGGGCTGTAGATGTGACTCAGTGGTAGAGTACTCGTCTGTCATGTATGAGGTCCTAGGTTCAGTCTGCAGTACTGGTGGAAAGAAGGAAAATAGATTCTAAAGACATTGAGAAGAGAATTTTAAAAAAGTGGGGGAAGTCATTAGTTTAGTTGAATAGTAAGATGTATGAACAGTATGTAAACTCCTAAGTATAAAGCATGATAATGAACAGTGAGTCTCTCCTAGCTATGTAGTAGCAAATACTGGCCAGTGGACACAGTTATACCCACCCTGTGTGACATAGATTTAAGACCTCCAGTGGATGTCTAACACTGATTAGTACTGAATCTTAAATGTACTTTTTTTCCCCAATATGTACATATCTATGATAAAATTTATAAATTTTGAGTCACAGTAAGAAATTAACAATAAGAAAATAGAACAGTTATAACAATCTGCTGTAATAAAATTGCTGGTGTCATTACTCTTGTGCCAGGCCCATTAGTGAGTAAAATAAGGGATATTTTGACACAAGCACTGCGATGCCATGACAGCTGATCTGATAACAGCTGGCTGCCGCGTGATTGGCAGGCAGGTAGGTAATGTGTACCGTGAGAACTTCAAGGGAAGGGATGACTGCCGTTCCAGGGGTCAGCTGGCACAGGGTGGCCCTGGACTCCATCACACTACGTAGAACGATGTGCAGTTTAAAGCTCATGAATTACTCACTTCTGAAGTTTTCCATTTGATACTTTTGGACCAAGGATGAGCATGGGTAACTGAAACTGGAGAGCTACACTGGATAAGGAGGGCCTACTATAAATGAAAATGTGAGGAAGCAGGGAGAGTCAGACACAGGTCTCTGGGAACTATAGGGTGTAATCTCTTGGACGTCCTAGACTCTTCATCGATCACAGCCTTCTCAGTCTTTTCAGTTTTGCTAGTGAAGTAACCCTGGTCTTTCTCACTCATACCATGACCTGCTGTTTGGCTTTATTTTAGCAACTGATCTGAGAGCATTTAAGTAGTAAAATAGCAAATTTTTGCTTGTAGGCTTTTTGGAAAATTGATTCATCCAAATGTTTATTGAACTACTGGAGATAGAGCGTAAGTATACAAAGGTAGCTGAACTAGGAAAAGTGGGCCTGATGCAAAGTGTAATGTAGCATTTCTTACTGATTTCCCCTTCCCCACTTTCGAGAGGTGAATATAAGATTATTTACATTTTAAAAATTGTTGATTGGCTCTTGTAGGTGGTCACCCTCACAATTGGACAGCCATTTCAAGGGAGTGTTTGAATCTTTTAAATGATATGACTCAAAAACTAGTTTTGTACCAAGAAGCTGCTGCTACAAATGGAAGAATGTCTTCCTCATACCCAGTGGAACCTAATAAATTGGATTCTCCAGGTAACTCCTAGTGCTGCTAAGAAAAGTATACCAGGCACGATGGCAAACACCTGTAATTCCAGCAGTTGGGAGGCTGAGGCAGGAGGGTCGCCATAAAAAGGGCCAATCTGGACTACATAATGAGTTCAAGGCCAGCCTGGACTACAGAGTGAGACCTTGCCTCAGAAACTGGAAAGATGAGATACAAGGGCCGGATATTTAGCTCAGTGGTTCTACCACCTGCCTCGCAAGTGCAAATTCCATCCCTGGTACCCCCCCAATAGATACAAATTTTTGTTTGCAAATTAAACTTTAAAAATCTTTAAAAAACTAAGTCCACTGTGGCCCTGGTGTTTAAAAGATGAAGTGATGGTCATCCAATAAAAGATGACAGTACAAAGCCACATGAATCCTTACAGATGATACTGAATGCTCTTCTGGTTATAAGCAGGGACAGAGGGGAGCTGGTCCAGAGAAGAGCAGCTGAAATGATTGAGAAACCTGGGAGAAGTGCATCACACGTGTTTCAAGATATCCTAATATTTTGTCAGTGCCCCTTCCATTCTCGGGGAGGAAGCACAGGTGGAGGAGCTTGTGCTGTTTCATTACATCCTGTCAGTACAGAATGCCTATGGGTGTGAGATTGGCAAGAGAGCTTCATGTTCTCACACTGTTGGGAAGCAGACACTTGGTGAGAGCATTGAGACTCGGGGTGAAGATGGAGGAAACCTCAGAGCACAGGCTGCATCGGAGGAGTTTTGGGTCTTTGTCCTCTGTGGTTCCCAGGGGGAAATATATACCCAAAAAATGCTTGAAGTCCAAACATTTTAGACTTTTTAAATGTAACTACTTTTTTTTTTTGAGACAGGGTCTCACTATGTAGTTGAGACTGACCTGGAACTCACTATGTAGCCCAGGCTGATCTCAAACTCACAGCGATCCTCCTGCCTCAGCCTCCTGAGTGCTGGGATTACAGGCGTGTGCCACCACGCCCAGCTATTTTGTAACTACTTTTGATCTTCACAAATCACTGTATGGACCAACAAACTCATCTGTGTTTTCGAAGTCACTATTTTGGAGGGATTATGGCCTCAAAACAGATTACAGAGGAAAACAGTTTTTAGTGAGCTCATCAGTGTCAGATTTTAAAAGATGCTGGGGTGTTTCAGTTAGTGTATCCTTCAGATACTTGACAAATACTTAATGATCTCATTTATTTAACAAACATTACTGAATGCTTTCTGTGTACCAGGCACTGTGCTAGATGCCAGGGAATCACAGATGAAAAAATACTCTTGGAACTGACCTTTTAGGGCAAGGCATATAAATAACAATAAGACATAATAACTGTCCAGAAGAAGTCTAAATTGGCAAGATGTTTGATAACAAAAGGAGGCCTTCTGTGCTACAAAAAAAAGAGTTTACTCAGTGGATACGTGGAGGCCCTGTGAACTGTGAATAGGCTGTTGGCTAGTTGGAGCAAGTGAGCATAGTAGAAATATAATCCTGGGTTTGGTAGGTCACGGGTCTGGCCAAATACGGTATGCATTATTTAAAATTGTTAGTTTCTGTCATTCAACCAAGATTTGCCTGTAATTTTGAGGGATTATAGCAAAGCTTCAGTCTTAATTTTTAAAAAGATCTTATTTATTTATTTATTTTTGGTAATAGGGATTGAATTTAGGATCTTGCACTTGCAAGGCAGGCACGGTGCCACTGAGCTAAATCCTCGGCCCTTCACTCTTTTTTTTTTTTTTCTTTTTTGGTACCGGGAATCAAACTCGGGACCTTGCACTTGCCAGGTGTCTTCACTGTTAATTTTTAAAGTGATTCTTCAAAGATTTGTAATTTCTGCTAACCTTTCAAAAGTCTTGTAATGAAAATTTGGTATTTTGAGTGTTTAATTTCTTAACAGCAGTTTTATTAAGGAGATATAATCTGAGTGCAATTTGTTGTGCTTTGTGTGGTAAAGTTCCTTTATTTTTGTTAAACAGATTATAATTTAATGGTGTTATAAGCTGCTATTATTTATTTTTATTTATTGAAACATTTTAGATACATATATTGGTAACATTCATCATAGAGAATTTGTACCTGTACATGATATATCTTGCTGCTTCTCCCCCACTTCCCCTCTCCTCCCTTCAACCTCTTTCCCCTTTTTTACTTATAAGCTTTGTTTCCATTTTTTTCCTTTTTTTTTCTTGTCCTTTCCTTTCCCCTTACCCCCTACCTCATACGCCTTCTCATTTGAACATTTTCTTCCCATTTCTCAATATCTGTTACATATTTTGATCCTTATTTACACTTTCGGTTTCTCACATCAGAGAAACAATGCAGTAATTAAACACATGTGCCCAATTTATTTCACTTAAGAGTATGGTCTCAAGGTTCATCTATTTAGCTAGAAATATCTCGAGCTCATCTTTCTTATGGCAGAGTAGCATTTTACTGTATTAAAAAACTACATTGCTACAAGCACAAGGACCTGCGTTCGATCCCTGGTGCCAAAACCAAAACAAAATCAAAACTACATCTTTATTCATTGATTGATGGATATTGGGGCTCTTTCAAAGATTTAACTATTATAAATTGTGCCGCTATAAACGTGGATGTACCTATATAATTGGTATGATGCTTTTAATTCTTTTGGGAAGATATCAGAAATGCTTTTTAAAGACACTTCTACAGGTCAGGTTTATAGACATCTTGAGCACATTAACCTTTGGTGTGACTTTCATTAAGTTGAAAGAACTTTGGGGAAAATGGTAGCACCTTTTCCTTGTTTATCCTCACAGTATATAGTTTGGTATGTTTAGCCAGGTAATGGTAGAACATCCAGTAAAATTAGAGAAATTCAAATGCAGTGATTTAAGTTGCTATTTAAGAATAAATCTTGATCACTGAAAATAGCTTAGAATTAGAGAAATTGACTTTAAGATAAACAGATTCAAGGGCAAGAAAAACAAATGAGGCTATACCAGTCTATCAGAAGAAGATATGTAAAGCTCCTTGAATGATCATTGAATTGGGAAATTAAAATCTGGAGCATGGGAACACAAACCTAAATGGAAATAATCCACTGAACTTTGAATAGGAGTTAAACACAAAATTGAGATAGAGCATCTATACCATGCTGTTTGGGTCAAGTTGCTGCTTCAGCCTTGGCTCTGTTCTGTCATAGAAAAAACACCTGATACCTCCAGTCCTTTTGGAACGCCTTTTGGCTCCAGTGTGGTGAAGCGAGTGGCTGGAATTTTTGATGGAAACACCTGCTATGGGTTGCCGCAGAGTCCTCAGCTGATTAGAAGAGGACCAAGACTATGGACTTCTGTTTCTGGTGAGGTCTATTTAATTTCTAAAATTGAAATCTCATAGTTACAGGGGATCATACAGCCTAAGTTCTTACCTAACTGCTGTTGTTGTTGCTGTTTTTTCAATAGGTCAGCAAATGTCTGACTATTCTAATCATTCTCCATATACCTCTCTTAATAATGTGGAGGGTAAGACAATGAGACAGCCCAGTGTGATTTATTCATGGATTCAGAATAAACGTGAACAGGTAGGATGATATATTTATAGTATTTATATTTGTATGTAACATTAAGGTCATTAACGATCTCACACATTGAGTAATTCATGAGGAAATTTGTTGTTGATGCTTCATGTATCCACGTGGCCTATATGAAATTGCCAGTGTTTGACTGGTTTTGAGTTTCACAGATTACAGTTTCATATGATTTAACCTAATAGGGTGCCTTTTATCTGTGCATTCTTTCATTTAAGAAATATTTGAACCAGATATGGTGGCACACACCTATAGTTCCATTACTTGATAGGCTGAGGCAGGATGATTACAAATTGGAGGCCAGCTTGGGCCCTGTAGGGAGACGTGTCTCAAAAGAAAAGAAAAATGAGTTCTTTGTGTGTGCAGGGTTCTCTTTTATCATGGGGAAAAACCGAAATAAAACAAAGCCTTTACTCATGTGTTTATATCTTAGTGGGAAATAGATGAGTAAGTAAATGTATTATACTGTACTATATTTTGTTGAAATACAGAATACCATTAATTGGATTAGTGCAAGAAATATTTTAGGTACTTTGTCTCCTCTCCACCCCCCAGTACTTGCATTGAACCCAGAGCCTCACAACATGTTAGGCAAGTGTTCTACCACACAGTGACATCCCCAGCCCTATATACTATGTACTATTAAGAAAAAACTATGACATGATATTAATTGTAAAGTGTATCCTGATAGGTCATGCATCCTATAAGAAAAGAAAAATATGCTTGAAAGGGAAAAAATTTGATAATAGAACAAAATAGAACAGGGGGCTAGGGGTTTAGCACAGTGGTTCTGGCGCCTGCTTTGCAAGCACATGGACCTGAGTTCGATCCCAGTACCAAAAAAAAAAAAAAAAAAGAAAAAGAAAAATAGAACAGCTAAAGGAAACCAGTGCCTGGGGGAAAGCGTAGCATTTATATGGACTGATCAGGGAGGTCTTATTGTAAAGGTGATACTTGATCAGATGTCTGAAGAGAGGTCAGAGACAGTCAGATGCAAAGTCCCTGAGGTGGGAATGTGCTTGGCTTGATTAAGGAACTGTGGACCCCAGTGTGATTGCAGTGGAGTGAGGGAGAGGTGTAGGTGATTGATAATATTGGAGAGGTAGGAGGCACTCAGGGCTCACTGGACCATTACATTTTTTCAAGACTGGCTTTTCCTTTGTGATGAAAAACCGCTGTATAGTTTTTCACGCAAGAAAAACATGATGTAACTTACTTTTTTTTTTTTGATGCCAGGCATCGAACTGAGGCCCTTGCGCTTATGAGGCAGGCAGTGAAACCACTGAGCCAAATCCCCGGCCCCAGTAAAGCACAATAACTTACATTTTTTTAAGTGCTGCTGTAGTGTCTGGGGTAAGTCTAGACTCTCAGTAGAGTGTGGACTCTTCGTCCTGGGCAGCAGTAGAAGCAGAGACTGATCTCGTGGCTGAGCACTGAGAAAAGAAAGTGTTTTCTAGAAGAAAGACACATCAAATGCAGCCACAGGTGGCTAGGGATGCAAACAGGCTGTTTGAGGCACAAACTAAGAATAAACTGGTGCTAGAAACATGCAGGTCACTGAGTCCCTTACTGAGCCATTGGGTGCAGCGAGACAGATGACGACCTGCTTGGCATGGGCTTGGGAATTGGAGACTGCCCGAAAATCCAGGATTTTCAAGGAGTTTTGCTGCAAGCAGAGTAATGGGGTAGAGGGGCTTTAAAGGTTAAAGAAAGGTATTTTTTAAGATGGAAGAAATTATAACATATTTACTAGTTAGTAGAGAGTAACTAAAGGCATTTCTAGGCTTCAGACCCATGTGATCCTAAATGTCATAAATATTACCATATCACTTTTTGTGTAGCAACTGGATGCTGCGATCTGCTCCACCCTCTAAGTAGTCATGTGGCATTTAGGTGACGGTATATATCTTAAGTTATTTGGCTTAGCTTTCATCCTGATAGTAAGAAAATTTTGTTTCCTGGAATTGTCAACTAGTAGAAAAACACTTCATCTCTCAAAATTTTTTTTTTCTCCTTTCCTGCAGGAGACAAATACTTACTTTTGATATTAAGAGGTTAGAGGGAGCCAGGTACCATGGTACTTGCCTATAACCCCAGCTATCCAAGAGGCTAAGGCAGGAAGATTGCAAGTTTGAGGCCAGCTTGTGTAACTTAGTGTGAGATTTTTCTTAGAATAAGTGATACTTTTTTCTTTTAAAAGAGCTGGGGGTATAGCTCACTGGTAGAGTACTTGCCTAGCATATATGAAGTCCTGGCTTGGGTTCAGTCCTCAGTACTGTGGGGGAGAGAAAGGAGGTTAAAGGGGTGGGGATTTGGCTCAGTGGTTCTGCCTCCTGCCTTGTAAGTGCAAGGGCCCAAGTTCCATCCCTGGCACACACACACATACACACACACACACAAAAGAGGTTAGAGGCCAAGAACATTGTAGAAAATTAAGGAAGAACATAGTCTTACCAAGTATCATCATTTATACTAGGTATAAATCACTTAAGAATTTTTCAATTATGGTAACAATCTAGTTGAGTATTAAGTCTGATACAGGAACACAGTGCAATTTAAGTTAGATGGCTCATCTTGGTTATCTAACTTACAATACAAATGAATTTACTTACATAGGTTATTGTAAATATTATTGTTCTTTCTCTGTAAGATATGAGTTGTTTCCATATTTTTATTTAAGTTAATGTCAGGAAGAACCTGAAAATGTGAAATATATTTGAGTAGAATTAAAAATGTAAACATGTTAATTTTTGTTTGTTTTCCAACTCAGATTAAGAGTTTCTTGTCAAAACGGGTGCTGATAATGTATTTTTTCAGTAAGGTAAGAATATAAAGTTAGAGCCTTGAGAATGAGGGGAGAGAAAGTGAAAAATAGGTGAAGTAGCAGAGAGGGTCTGACTTTGAATGCTTTATAGATTAATTCCAGCAAGCCCTACATCTTTGAATAACACTTTGCTAAACCTCTGTGGGGACAGTTGTTGCTTCCCATCTCCCCACAGTGACTGCCTGGGGTTTGGCTGTGTAGTTGGCTGCTGGCAGCTTTGTGCTGATTCACAGCATCAGCTCCTTCCTGCTGCGTCACTGTTTGGAGAGTGAGCGGCCCATAGCTTTCTGATGCTTCGTGGCTCATTTCCTGCTAACATCTTTGTGGCCAGTTGCTGTTCAAAAAAAAGGTGACTGAATTAGATGACAGACATTAGATATGTGGTAGGTAGAAAGTTGTATTTCATATCACAAATGAAAGGACTTTCTGTCTTGTCTACTAGCTCTTCCACCTATAGTAGGAAATATGTCAGTTGTAGAAGCTAGAGATTGTTGTCTGTTTTCACCTGGCTATATCTGTTGTGTGTTAATCCTTTGATGACGAAAACCTTTGCCCATGTGTAGGGGAAATAATTTTTATTTTTTGTCTTTTAAATCTTAACTTGTCTCTTTCTGCAGATATTGTGGTAATATTAAATAGGCTCATATTGTACTCATTTAATGCATTCAAGTGAAAATTTATATTGACATTCTTCATTTTTATTCTTCAGGGATCATACTCTGGTGGGGAAAGAGATCTGAGTAGCCCTGGTAGAATATAGATTCACATACCAGTTATTTTGCGTTCTTGAAACTTTTTCAGAACAGTGGAAGTGGAGCTCTGCCCAACTAGTTACCTTTACTAAAAAGTAATCTGGTTTAGGCTGTCCATTACAGGAAAGTATCTTCTTTCACCAAAAGCATGAGGGGTGTCTAAAGTTTTACTTCAGGGCTTGGCTTCAGAAGGAGAGGAAGAAAACTTACCTTGAGTATTTTACATGTGTGCCATGCTCTGTCACTTAGTTTTTTTATTTGATTTTTAGTAGCATTCCCGTGAGATGTGCTTTTTGGTCCCCATTTTTCAGATCAGGGAACCTAAATCTCAGAGGTGATCAAGTAGCCTAAGGCACACAGCAAGTTAAGTTATAGAGCAGATGTTAACCAAAATTTTTTCACTTGGGAATGAATGGCTACATTTGATTCTAATTTTGTACATGGATCTGTGGTATGATGAAGAGTTGTAGACACTGTAATTTAATGTTGAGAAAAGTGATTTCTTAATAGGGTTAATCGGGTAATACCAGTACATAACCAAAACCAGCATTTACTAAATAGGCCAGTTACTTCACCCTATCTGACCAGTGGTATATTAAAGAAGGTTGAGTAGTTTTTCTTTGTGGGGGTTGAGAATAGACAATTTAAGGTAGATAATATTGCCAGGCATGATGGTGCATGCCTGTAATTCCAATATTCGGGAAGCTGAGGCAGGACTATTGCTGCAAGTTCAAGGCCAGTCTGGGCTACACAGTGAGTTCAGTGCAAGCTTAAGCCTATTTAAGGAGGTCCCATTTGAAAAAAAGAAAAAAAATTTAAGTAGTTCTATTGTAAAACACTTTTTAAACATTCTGTTATGTGATCTCTGTACTAATCTTCTGAGTTGAGTTGAGCACTTATAATTCTTATTCTAAATGAGAAACAGGCATGTACAGATTTAGAGACTTGGACAGGAGTCACACATTAAGTTAATGGCAGATTGCTCTATTGTAGTTAAATTATATTATGTAAGATTGTATTTCAGATCTAAGTCCTTGAGAGGCACCTGTGATTTTTGTTGTTGAATTGTTGTTGTTATAGTCTACATAGTTAATACAGTATTAGTTTTTGCCTAAGGGAACTTACTTTGTGTTTTTGTTTTATTTGTAGCATCCAGAGGCCTCCATTCAGGCAGTTTTTTCAGATGCCCAAATGCATATTTGGGCATTAGAAGGTGAGTGATCTTTGTGAATTGCAACTATGACTTTAGGAGGTTAAATATTGAACAATAATCCATGAGTGGTTAGTTCTAGACTTTGATCTCAATCTTTGCATTTTCAGATTTTTTGGGGGGGTGGTTTTGAGAGAGGGTCTCACTATGTAGTTGAGACTGACCTAGAACTCACTGTGTAGCCCAGGCTGGTCTCGAACTCACAATGATCCTCCTGCCTCAGCTTCCTGAGTACTGGGATTACAGGAATGCGACACCACGCCCAGCTCAGATATATTTTTATATCTTTGTTTTTATAGAGATCACTTTTCTTAGCCATTTCAGTGGATATTTTGCTTTTTTTTTGTTTTGATTGTTTGAAGTGCTGGGGATTGGTCCCAGCACCTCACAAGTCAGAGTGAAGCAGTCTACTACTGAGCTACACTCCTGCCTCTGTGGGTATTTTGATTTGGTCAAAATATTTCTTGTACATAAGCAGAGAAATTGAGCCTGAGATTCATGCTTATGTTTCTGTACTTCAAAATATATTGCTAATAAATTGCTTTTGAATTTTCCTTAATTTGCATTATATTTGAAAACTTAGCTGTTAAAGAGCTATTTCTTTTTACCATGTAGATAGTACCTTCTTAGTGCTTAAATAACACTTGAGTGAGGAGTTTCTACCATCCTGTCATGAGTATCCTCCTAAGAGTTCTCCCTGTATGCTTTGTTTTTCTTCCTAGCATCCATCATAACTCAGTATTAAATTTTTTCCCTATTAGAATTAAAGTTTTTGTCATCTTATAAATGACTACAGCAGTTAAGTACCTTTTATGTGCTTATCCCTTTTACATTTTATAATTTTATATTGTATTCTCCCCTTAATAGTTTTTTTAATATTTAGAATACTAATCTTGGATAGATGAATTACAGAGAGATTTGCCTGCTTTTGATTCACTGTCACTCTTTTCCTTTCCCCTTAGGTCTGTCTCATTTAGTAGCAGCATCATTTACGGAAGATAGGTTTGGAGTTGTCCAGACTACACTACCAGCTATTCTTAATACTTTGTTGACACTGCAAGAGGTAAGTAACCGCTGTGTTGCATGTGGATATGGTTATCCTCTTACTCCTCTGTTTTGTGTTGTTTTTTTTTTTTTCCTTTTTCCTTTTTTTTTTTTAAGACAGGATATTACTATGTAGTTATGGTGGCCTTGAATTCATTATGCAGCCTATACTGGCCTCAAACTCATGGCAATCCTCCTGCCTCAGCTTCCCAAGTGCTGGTATTACAGGCGTGTGCCTCCATGATTGGCCCTGTTTATTTCTTATATATCTTCTTTTTTGAATATTTTCCTCATTGAGTTTATTGGTTCATTTTGGATATACAGTACAGTTACATTCATTATTGGGATCTTGTATCTTATATCTTCTTTTTTGATTAACCAAATGCGTTATAAGTTAAGATAATGATACTGTTGTGACCCTTGGGAAATTATAGTCTTAGAAAATAGAAAGAGAAAAGTTTTAATCTGCTTATAAAAATTTTGTAGAAAAAGTGTTTAAACCCTGGTATTAAACAGATAAGCTAGGATGTTGGAATTCTGTTCATTGACAGGTTTGGATCCTCACAAAATTTGTAGCTACTGCAAGCAGTCTGTAGTTAAATCTCCCAGTGAAATCAGTTGTCTTGGAAAAAAAACGAAAGAAATAAGTTGTCTTGGCCACAGGGTAAAGAGATGAGGTCAGTGGATACCTTTTCCTGGCTGGATCTTATTTTGACTGCGTGTCTTTGTGGTCTGGACTCACAGAAAGGCAAAAACATAAAGCTGTGCTTCCTGGTTTCTAGTAGGCTTCCTTTCGTAGCTTCATGTTGGCAGTCCACTTTATACCACATTATACTAATTGTGTCACATGAGAGGTATGAACACTTAAGCTTGAAACATTGAAACAGAAGTTGAAGAGCGCAATTTGCTTTCTGTAGGAGATGGTGTTGAATTAGCCTGAAGAATACCACTCAGCATGTTTGGGACTTGGGAAGCTATTTAAGATATGAAGAAAAACATGCCTTATTCTTCTTTTTTTTAAAAACTCAGTTCGTTTTACCTCTTAGAAAATCTTACTTATCAAAACCAATGATTCTTTTTTGGCTTCCATTATTATTTTTGCTCACTTTCATATCATGTATGTTATTTGAGACACGTGTCCACATGAGTAGTTTTATCATTTTTGTAATTTTTTTTCGAGTACTGGGAATTGAACTGTCAGGACTTTATGCTTGCTAGACAGGTGTGGTGCCACTGAGCTACATCCCTGGGCCAGTAGTTTTATTATTTGTACTCTTTCCTGGCTACCTTTTTCTGAAAGAAACAGTGTCAGGTGTCTCTTAATGTTTGGCTTATCTAGCGTACAACAGGGTGGCCATAACTGGGGTCTTCATAATGAGATCCTCATTACAGTCTTGTTAAGTAAGCAAAGTGGAGATACTTTAGCCCTGTTTTACTGATGAGGGACAGTGTGTAGTTTAGTGATTAATGTCAGGTCTTAAGTCTCATAGGTGGCAGACTGGGAATTGTACCTAGTCTGATCACAGGGCATTAACAGTGTAGTAGACCTTAGGAAAAGCTGTAGATCAACAACATTCCTTACTCTTTTTTTTTTTTGTATCGGGATTGAACTCAGGACCTTGTGCTTTCGAGGCAGGTGGCAGAACCACCGAGCTAAATCCCTGGCCCAGCATTCCTTACGCTTCCTGAGTTTGTCTTCCATCTTGTCCTGTGATGTCCTCTACCTATCCCCACCCCCAACATATGCATAGGATTCTTTCTGGAGAAAGAATGATTCTTCCTCGGAACTTTTTGGACCATGAATTACAGTACATTTAAGACCAACAGGGGTGGGGTGTGTGTGAAACAAGATTTGTGGCACAGTACTTTCACTGTGTACAGTACATTTTGATGTTCATTCTATTTCATTAAAAAAAAAAAAGCACTGTAATCTCAGCGTTTTTGAGGATCTTCTTGGTGACAGCCTGTCTTAAAATTAAAAATAAAAAGGACTGGGAATGTACCTCAGTGGTAGAATGTCCTTGGGTTTGATCCCTACTACAAGATGAGGGTCTTGTTGAAACTCACTGAATTGATTTCACGAAGATCACACTGCCTTAGAACTATTCTTCACCAAAATGACTCTGTTCTTATGTCCCCCACGTCAAAACTCCATTTCTTCATAGTTGGCTAGAAGAAAAGCAGTCTGTTTATTTGATTGTTTTCACTCGTACCCTTGGGCAAGAAGGCAAGAATTACATATTTGTTAAAAAATCAGACCTCACCAGGCATGGTGGTGCATGCCTGTAATTCTAGTGCTCTGGGAGGCTGAGGCAGCAGGATTTCAAGTAACCCAGCTTGGGCAACTGGTAACTTAGCAAGATGCTGTCTCAAAATAAAAATGGATAGGAGTGTAGCTTAGTGTAACAGCTCTAAGTTCAATCCCCAGGGCCATTTAAAAAAAAAAAGTTCAGACCTTATTTTATTTGAAATAGAGGAGTTGGGATGGAAATTTTTTTTTTTTTTTTTTTTTTTTTTTTTTTTTTTTGTACCAGGGATCGAACTCAGGTCCTTGTGCTTTCGAGTCAGGTGGCAGAACAACTGAGCTAAATCCCTGGCCGAGGATGGAAATATTTTTGAAGGGGTCACAGGATCAAAGAAGTGAGCGAGTACTTAACTTCTGAGTATTAAAGTCCCTCCTTGAATAAAACGTATGTTGTCTGTTTTTTCCTGTCCTGCATTATAGTTGCCCTTTCTTCATAACTCTACAGTCATGAGCTTTTGCAAACTGCCTCCAAGCCTTTTTCCTGTCCCCACATCCTGAGGTTGATTGTAATGAGCAGTTCAGGATCCGCTTGGGTGATGCATCCCACACCTTGGCTGCACACTTGTTTGACTTCTTCTTGTCACCACATATTTGTATACCCTCTACCTATGTATAATCCCAGCACTCCGGGAGGCTAGGGCTGGAAGATTGTAAGGTCAGGCCCAGCCCAGCCTAGCCTGGACAGCTCAGTGACTTAGTGAGACTGTCTCAACATAAAAAATTTTTAAAAGGGCTGAGGCCGGGCCTGGTGGCACACGCCTGTAATCCCAGCACTCAGGAGGTTGAGGCAGGAGGATTGCTGTGAGTTCGAGACCAGCCTGGACTACATAGTGAGTTCCAGGTCAGTCTCAACTATACAGTGAGACCCTGTCTCAAAAAACCAAAAAGGGGCGTGGTGCTGGAGATGTAGCTCAGTGCAAAGACCCTGGGTTCAGTCACCAATAATACAACCAGCCAATTAATTTGTGACATAATATGTGCTTTTAAATTATCACATTAAATAGCAAGGACTGTTAGTCTAATAACATCATTTTGAAGTAGTAAGAGATGGTAATTGAAAGCAAGTGTAATGATAATAAAGTGATATGAAAATATTGATGATCTCTATTAGTCACAAAGTCAGAGAAATTGCTAATGGTACCTACTGTGGTTATTAATTTACATCCATGAATAAAACCTGCTGAACTTGCTGGAGATTTAGCTTAGTGGTGCCACATCGCAAGTGCAAGGTCCTGAATTCGATCCCCGGTACCAAAACAAAACATGTTGAACTTTAATTTAGAGCTTAATGAAGAGAGACATGTAATTTTTATTCCATACCTCCTGAATTTTACCCTGAAATTTGTGGGCCCAGTGTGAGGAGCCCTTGCTGTGAGCCCAGCCTGCTCATGCCCTTGTTGCTCCTGTAAAATTTCCTTGATCTTACAGATTTTTTCTGTTCTGTCCCCATGTTCATTGTCTTTCAGCTCCCTCCAGGCTCATATGTCTTTCCCTCTGCAGAGTAGACCTTTGAATCTTTTATTTCAACAGCTTTGCTAGTTCTCTTAACTCTCTTGTCTTCATGGTGTTCAGCTGTACCCATATGGCAAGACTCCTGCTATTTCCTCCCCACTCCAGTCCATTCTTTGTCTATCCTGCCTACCCTGGCTTTACTTTAGGCTCTTGGCATCCTTGTCCTGAGTTATTACTGCAACCTTTGCCCTCACTGACCTGATGATTCTTCATGCTCTGCTGTCCTTCCTATGAGCCCTCTGCTGTAACACCCCATGGACTGTTAGTCCCCCGCCCTTCCCCAGTGTACCTTATTTTAGGGTAACTCTGACTCGACATGATACCCATTTCTCCTCCTCCTGGAACATAGTTTGTTCCTCTATATGGGGGTGCATTATAATCCCCATCTGAACTCTGTCGTCTTAACTGACTTCCCTATTAGTTAGAATAGGGACCTTTTTTGTTTCTGTATTCCCAGCATCTGATAGGGTTACCTAGCAAGTGAGAAGTAAATTTTTTTGTTTTTGCAGTATTGGGGATTGAACTCAGGACCTTGCGCTTGTGAGGCAGGTGTGGTGCCACTGAGCTAATCTCTGGCCCAGGGAGGAGGATTATTTTTGGTACTGGGGATGGAACTCAGGACCTTGTGCTTATGAGGTAATTATTAAGTGCTTGTTAGATGACTGTTGGATGGCTTCATTGCTGGTTAAATGACCAAAGCCTTCTGTTCTGAGACCTGAATTGAGTGGCAGTTCTGATGAGGTGGGTTGATTACAGTAATCCCAAACTGCAGGATTGTGATTGTGGTGTTATTTTTATGAGTCCTGTTATGTGCTTTTGGCTTTATGTTCTTTGATCTAGCAGAGATACTTGTGTTTAGCAAAGAGAATAAATTCTAAGTGTCTCTGTAATTTAAGGCAAGTTGTATAATGCCAGCTGCTCAGTGTTACTAAGGAACAATGGTATAGAATTGTTCTGTTCTTTTGTTTTACTTTTCAGTATCAATAACTTTGGCCATTTCCCTGTAAATCATTAAAGGCAAAATGTGAAAGGAAAGGGGAGCCTTTCACTCTTCAGACCATTCTGAGGGCAAGGAACTGGGCAACGGGTATCTAGAGCAGTGGTCCCTCCCAGCCGGGGAGGGGGGCTCCTGAGTCCCAGCTCACATATTGTCAGCATTATATCATAAATGTGAATCTTGAACAGGTTTGTTCCCGTGTCTTAGATTTTTACCTGCTGTTTGGGTTAATTAAAATACAATTCATTTGACTGAGTTGATGGTAGTTATTTCCTCTATCAGTGGATGAAGAGCAAATACCATTCTATGGAAAATCATAATACTTTTGTTGTCCTTATAAAGATTGGATTCTGTCTTTCTGGAGTAAACCTTTGTTTTAATTACATTAGACTGGGGAATCTCACAGCTTATTAGTTTGGGCAGTTATTAATGGCAGTGATAGATAAATAAATATTCAGAGAGCAATCAGAATTTTATCTGTATTTTGGTTTTTGTACTTCTGCATATAAATATAAATGGGAAAAATGCCTGTTTTCATAATTGTAGCTCTTATTTAGGCTGTTAGTAGAGCCAGAGTGTAAGGCCTTGCAATTTTAAATTTTTCTTAAAGACCATATTATTCAGTGATGTTTCATACTGTCACTGCTTTCTCTTTTCATCATTTGGGAGATTCTGTTGTTTTGGTACTGGGGATCAAACTTTGGATCTTGCACTTGCGAGGCAGGTGGCAGCACCACTGAACTAAATCCCCGGCAGTTAGGTACTTTTTAAATCTCACAGCTGATTATGTATTTCAGTTCTCCCAACTTGGGGCACATGATTGACTTATTATAAACCATTTTTTCTTATGTTTAAGATATTCGTATACTGTCTTCATAAATTTGATCATAATTGTTTCATTCCACATACCTTTGTCATGTTAGTCATGTTTTATTTCTCAGAACTTTTATTTTAAGTCTTTATTTATTATCTATCTCTTTATTTATTTATTTATTTTGAGACAGGGTCTTGCTGTGTAATTCAGGCTGGCCTTGAACTATGTTACCCAGGCTGGCCTTGAACTTGTGCCAGTCTTCCTGCCTCAGCCTGCCAAGTGCTGAAATTACAGGCCCGTGCTACTAGGCCTGGCTTTAAGTCATTTTTAACACAAATTTATTTGAAAAATATTCTATTGCCATTGTAAAAAGAAAACTGGTTTGACTTGATGCATATTGAATACAATTTGATAGTCCCTTATCTGAAACCCTATCATTTCAGAATTCAGATGTTTTGGACTTAAAAAATGTAATGTGTGTGTGTTTGTGTGTGTGTGTAAATAAGAGCTCTGTGTCTCACATTCCTCGGAGTAGCTGAGGTATAATTCCCTGATGAGATACACAAATGATTTTTCTCCACATTAAGTGGAACAAAACTGTAACTAAAATGTGTTAGGGTAGGTTAGGTTTATTGCCAGATGATTTCAGCCCAAGTATACTTTTGTTACCAAAGCAGTTACAAAGGTTTTTGTTGTCAAGAATTTTATCCACAGTTGAGGATAAACAGTTAAAGTAAGAAAATGAGTAATTTTAAATGCTAGCTATATACTATTGTTTTCTGAAGTCCCTGAACGTGAGGCCTCCTTATCTGTTGTAAAAGGAGAATAGTGAGGGTTAGAGCGCTGTTAAGGACACATCAGCTCCAAACAGAGGCTTTCTTTCTTGATTTAGAGTCCATTGGAACTCATTTAAAAAAAAATTTTTTTTTGACTAGTTTTAACTTTTTGTAGAAGGATTGGTATTTTAAAGCCAGGTGTGGTATACACTTATGATACCAGTCCTGTGGGGAGATGGGGCAGGAAGTTCCCAAGTTTGAATCCAGCCTGGACGATTTAGCAGTTTAGCAAGACCTTGTCAAAAAAGAAAAGAAAGAAAGGAAGGGAGGGAGGGAGGGAGGAAGGAAGGAAAGAGGGAAGGAAAAAAGGTCTGGGAATGTAGCTCAGTGCAAAGTCCTTGGGATCAGTTGGTTGTGTGGCTAGTATTACTGAATTGGACAGCATGGCTCTAGACCAGATGGCGAACTTTTTAGAACCAAGGACCCAAACTGCAACCCAGAACTCACTTAATGCAAAGTGCCAACACTACAGTTAAACCTGAATACTGAAGTTTTAGTTTAGAAGAAACAATTCATATATTAATAAGACATTTGTCTTGAAAGAAAAGTAACACGTGTGTCCTGGGTTTGCCACCACTGCTCTAGACTTTAATGATTATAAAATTGATTGTCTTAGATTTTCAGACTGTGAGTCTAACTTGAATTACAGTATCTGTTTTTGCTGAGAGTTTACATGGCATTATTTCTTATCTGTGATGATATCTGTTCACCAAAATTTATATAGTTTATAAGGGGGTAAGTGGAAGTAGGAGACATTGTTGAAGTGAAAAAAGTCACTAGATTGATCATTTGATTTTTTTGTTTTTGTTTTTTGAGACTTGGTATCACTATGTAATTCAGCCTAGTCTTGCACTCACTATGTAGCCCAGAGTACTCTTGAACTTGTGGCAATCCTCTTGCTTCAGCCTCCAAAATGCAGGGATTACAGATAATGTACCACCATGCCTGGTTTTGAATTTATATTTATAAACCTAAGAATGAAAATATTTTGAAATTATAGTGCAGAGGAAATGGCTATTCTTTCTTCAGCAAAATTTGGAACTGTCCAAAGTTTTCAAAAATGCTGTATTTTGAGGTGTAATTGCAAATAAAAGAACCAAAAATATTTCACTAGAACCTTTTAGTATTGATAAAACAGATGGGCAGAGATCAGTAGTCACATTCAGAGGAACATTGCTCATTTCAGGTGTGTATATCTTCAAAATCTGAACAATAGGGATTGAGAATTTGAGTTTGCTATGTTTATATTGTATTCTTATATATTCTTATTAAATTTCTATAGACTTATCTTGTCATTCTTCTGTAAATGTTTTGTAAATAGCTTGTGTGTTTGTGGTACAAGGGATCAAACCCCATGGTAAAATAATTAGGCTGTAAACATTTGAGAAGTTACACTGAAGCCAAGCATGGTGGCACATACCTGTAATTCCAGCATTCTGGGAGCCTGAGGCAGGAGAATTGCAAGTTCAAGCCCCTCCTGGGCATCTTAGCAATTTAGCAAGACCCCATTTCAAAAGTATAAAAAGGGCCAGGGATGTTAGGTTCAATCCTCAGTACCAAAAGGGAGGAAAAAAGGTACATTGAACAAAGGTGGTAAATGATGACTTTTTCATGGTTTGCTGAGAGTTAACCAGAAGGCATACAAGAAAATAACTTTTCCATTATGATTCAATGTTATTTAATATTACTTAAGTGTTTTACTGTGAACCACCTCCCATACTGCCTAAAATTATCTCAAGTATGTCATGGTCTTGTGAAACTCTCTTACAAGTAATTGTTGTAAAAGAACAAATGATTAAACTTAAAGGTCACATGACATAATGAACACATGCATCAAATATTGTTCCTTCCCCAGAACTGTACTAAACTATAGTAAAAGGATTATTAAAGTACACAAATCCATAAATAGGAGAGGAACCAGCAGCAGCAACGTTTTTGAAGCTGGAGAGCAGATGGTTGAGATGACTCAGCAGATCCCAGAGGCAAATCCAAGTCGGCAGTGGGAATAGCCCTGGGTACCTCTGGAACTAAGGGTAAAGGGTCGGGGACCAAGATAATAACATTTGGGTGGGAGGTTTGAAAACAGGTTCTGATCCTCTGCTGCTCATTGCTCCTCCTGCACTCCAACTTTCTTTTCCTGGGGCTGTGTGAGCTGTTCCACACAACAGGAATGAGTTCTCTATCCAGCAGGATACCAAGAGGCCCTTCTCTGGGAACTCTGACCAGCCCAAGAAAAAAGACCTGAAGTGAACCAGAAGTTCACCCTGACAAGGCCATGCAGGTCACCTACAATGAAGCCTGTTGTCAGTAATCCCCAGTCCCATGCTCAGAGCTGTTGGAGATCCTTCTTAAAGTGATGAGCAGGGTCACTAGATTCCTGAGGAAAGTCTAACACGGAAGATGGAGACCAAAGGAAGCAAAGGAAAACAAACGGCTTAAAAGAAACTGTAGAAAACAAAAAAGCTATCATCAAAATTCTTAGAAATAACAGCGTATTTGGATGGCAAAATAAAAACATTCAGATGACATAAAAGAGCTCTTGAAATTATAAACATTGTGACAGAAATAATTTTAACTTTTTGTTTTTGTTTTTAGTTCTGTGGTGATTATGTCCATTACTGTAAATAATATGCTGTTTTTTTCTTGTGACTTTAGATATTATCTTGCCAAAAAAGACTAACACACTTTACTTTTACTTCTTCCTTCTTTTAGTGTAGCAATTTTATTAAAAAATTAACATTGCCTCAGGCCTTTAAAGGGTATTTTAAATTCTTTATTTCTATGATAGCAACTATAAATAGAATCAGTTTCTCTTGTGAATTTTCAATCTGGCCCCATTTACTCTTGCTCATAGATGCCTTGTCTAGAATTAAAAAGAAAGATAAACTAGTTTAGTGAATAATTTTATATAAAGTTATTTATTTATTTTGCTGAGAGCCATAATAAAGACTGCGCTGCCTCTCACCCACATAAGAACTATAGGGTACTAGTGTTTTATTTCTGAGTTTTGCATTTTCAGGGCTGTTGGATTACAGCTGCTGTTTAAAGTTTACTCCTCACTACTAACATAGCTGAGCCTCTGATTTTTTTTTTAAACGATTGTGACTGATTCACTGTAAGAGCACACATTTACATGTGTATATGTGTGTGTATCTGTCTGTGTCTATATATTTAAAATAAAATATTATTTGTTGGGCCAAGTTAGCTTTCTCAATAATTTAAACTAATGTATTTTCCTTCTTTCTTGGTCTAGGCAGTTGACAAATACTTCAAGCTTCCTCATGCTTCCAGCAAACCTCCCCGGATATCAGGAAGCCTTGTGGACACTTCCTATAAGACGTTACGATTTGCATTCAGAGCATCTCTGAAAACTGCCATCTATCGAATAACTACTACATTTGGTGAACATCTGAAGTAAGTTTACATGTTTTGATCTATAATAATAGTTCACTTTTAAGGAATTCCTCTGAGAAATAGAATTATTAAGACCCAAATGTTGAAAATGTTCTTTTGCCACTTTGATGGTTCCCACTGTGAATTAACTTCTTGGGTTTAGATTTAATATTTATAATTTAAAATTTGGCCTGTTGTACACATTGGGTATTTCTTTCAAAGGGACAAAAGAAGATAGAAAGCATTTTTTTGTTCTTTTCTTTTTTTAAGATAAGTTGCAAAAGCAGTAAATATAATTACATATATATTTTTAATAAATTACCAAAAGATCCATAAGGAACAAAAAAGGCAAAAATCCAAGTACCTATCTAGAAGAGCTTATTTAAAATAATTCGTTCTGTTGTTAAATTTTGGTCAGGATGCTAAGACCAGGGATGAACAGAGGATTCCATAAATGAGTTCATGGTGTTTTATGAGTTGTGCTGAAAAAACATCAACAAATCCCAACACTTTCAGAAACAGAATCAGAGAGAAAAACTACACATGCCAAACCTGTCTATATTTAGTTTCATCGATGGTCACTGCTTTGCTTTCATGAAACGATCTGGGCAGATAGGATGAGTGGTGCCAGTTTATTAACTACACTGTGTTCGTGATAGTTATAAATGAGCTGTACAAGGCCTAACAGATTACTCTGCTTTTCTTGTATGCAGTCAATAAATAGTTTAGGACTTCCTCATACCACCTGTTTTTGGAAGCAAGAAGTGTATTTCTTTCTCTTTCCCTAACACAAGGCAGTAGCACTAGCAGGTATTGGGCACTTTGGTTTTGTATGGGAATATGAAAGACTAGATAATCCTCTGCCATTAAGTCATTCAGAATACACTCATTAATGAATTTAAAGAATGAAATAGACATGATTCATGTTGATGATAGAGCAAAATCAGGAAGAAAGGGGGGAAATAAGGATTTATTAGATATGAGGAGATAGATGACTGATTAAAATTATGAGGATGAAATTATGCCTTGGTTTCTTTTCTCCAAAAACAGCCATTTTTATATATGCACTCAAACTGATGAGAATCTGTTTTGTACATTCTGTAGGGTAGAATAACATGGTAGAAAGGCTATTAGATGTGGAGTTAGAACATTCTGGGTTTGTCTGATTACATCATTGACTATCTGTGATTGTAGGTGAATTGCTTAATGGATTAAAGTAAGTTGACTCAAGATTATCCAGGCAGTAAATCGTAGAACCAGAATTCTACCCCAAATCTTTTTAACCCTAGAGTTTCTTCTACAATGTCTATACTCTTTAATTGTTAGACTGTGTTGTCACCCAAAGCTCTGAACCTTTCTGATTCTTTTCATGCTCACATTCTGCTTCATTTGGTGTTGATAGAGATTAAATGGAATCATACATATGTAAAATCCATTGTTCATTATATATAGTGCAACACCTATAATGACTGTATAGTATCTAACTATTCACTACGTGAAAACTCTAACTCTGAGAACCAAGTATACATGAAGTAATTGTTTTCTTTTGAGACAGGGTATCACTCTGTAATTCAGGCTAGCCTTAAACTCACTTTGTAACCCAAGCTGGCCTGGAACTTGCAGAGATCTTCCTGCCTCTGCCTCTCAAGTGCTGGCATGTGCCACCATGCCTGGCCTGTGAAATAAATTCTTGAGCCCTGAAAATTAACTAAGACCAGTTACTCATTGAAGACATTCATTCACACCTGCTTTTTTATTTATTTATTTATTTATTTATTTAGTACTGAGGCTAGAACATGCTGAGCAAGCATTCTACCCTTGAGCTACATCTCCCACTGTTTTGCTTTGTTTTAGATAGGATCTTGCTATATAGTCCAGGTGGACCATGGACTCTCTTGTGATCCTCCTGCCATGGCCTCCCAAGTGCTGAGATTATAGGAATTGTATCACCATGCCTGGCTTCAAGCCCCTTTTAAATTTTATCTTGACAAAAACTTAACCAACTCACTAAGTTGCCTAGGCTGACCTAAAACTTGCTTTCCTCCTGCCTCAGCCTCACAAATAACTGGAATTACAGGCATGCATCACTATGACTGGCTTTTTTCTTTGCTCTTTGTTTTTTAAGTAATAAGTTTTATTGGATGTATTTGAGGTTTACAACATCTCACAGTATACATATAGATAATAAATTGGTTACTGTAGTGAAGCAAATTAGTAGTCTATCATCTCACATTTTAATGTTTGACAAGAATAGCCAAACTTCTTGATTAACAAAAATTCTTACTATGGTTTTATTAATTATAGTTTTCAAATTGTACCTTAGATCAGTAGACTTACTTGTTCATCTTATGTATTTGTTGCTTTGTATCTTTTGACCTGTATCTCCCATCACCCTCTTTTACTCTTTAAGTAAATTTTATTTACTTCCAGCCTATAACATATCAAAATATATGTGAGGGACAGAGATTGCTGTTGGTAAAGCATGGTTCACTTCCTGCTTTGGAGGAAAGACTTGTAAGCGTGGTGTTCAGAGTTCAGGGCTCTCGACTTAGAGACGACACCAGCACCTCCCTAGAGAGCAATATTCAGAGTAATTCCATTAGAGGTGGTTGTATCGTTCAAGAAAGTCATGACGTATGAAGGCATTTTAGGGTGGTATGTAGCAAATTTATTAATAGTATAATAGTAATGATACATTACTATTCACGGACTGGAAAACCAGAATCTTCATTGTATTCAATGTTTGTACAAAGCTTTAAGAGTTTCATACTAGTTTCAGTGCCCTAATTTTGTCAAGGTAGTGTATTTTTGTAGTGATGAGGGTGGAGAGGGAATTCTGTCTCCATCTAAAGCATAACTCATGTTCAAAGGAAAGAGAAAATCTAAACCACCGAGCTGTTACCTTTGAAAGCAATTAATGGAGTCTATTGTGTTTTAACCAAACATTTTAGTTTAAAGGATTTTATATTAAAGGCAATTTAAATACTCCACAACTCAAAGATAATGTTGGAATCTGTTTTAAATAAAATAATAAAATCCAGAAAATCTACTGCAAGGCCTGGAACTCTGCACAGCAGGTTCCACAGCAGAGCAGGTTAAAATCGATGCCTTCCCTTGTCAGTCTCAATTTGCTTTGGTTTTAGAAGGTAGAAGCATGCTGCTACCCAGTGTAAGCCTCCTCTTCATTAGATTAAAAAAGGTTTTCATCCAGCTCTTTCAGAAGTACTAAATAAGTGAAGATTTCTATTCATTTTTAATTGTTTTGAAAAATATTGACTCTGGGCTTTGTGGTTCACTTAATATTCTTAATGTAAAATAAAGCTTATGCTTTGAATTTATGTTTCATTTAGTGCTGTGCAAGCATCTGCAGAACATCAGAAAAGACTTCAACAGTTCTTGGAGTTCAAAGAATAGTTCAGTAATATAAACTGTGTTCATTACACTGCTGATACAACTACAGACGGCACAGTAAATGTTCAGCATTCTTGGATCAGAAGAAAACGGACTAATTAGATGCTTCCTTTGTCGTGGTGGTTGCTTTGAAAACTATACTTTAATGGGAGAAATCATGGAAAGAAATTCTCGACAGAATAACCGAAAACTGCCTTTTCTGTACTGATCACTTTTTGTGTGTGTGGTATAATAAAATCTTTATTCAGTTTTATAAGATCATTGATGGCAGTAGAAACATCTCTAGCTCATATAACAATAGTAATAACTCAAAATTTTGTAAAATTTACTTCTGCAAAGAGTGGAGCCACTTCAAAAATTAAAATAGGTTGACTTGATTTGGACTTTCTAATCATTCTAAGAGGCCAGTTCCCTGCAAACTTGAAATACATAAATGTTTAAAACATAGTTTGTTTACTGAAGGATAAAAATGGTAAGAGTAGAGAAAAATTCCCCCCCAAAAAACTGTGTAAGGAACATGTTTTGTTAATCTGTTAGGTTGTGTTTTTATTTTTAGGGATAAATTAAATTTGCATGATTGTCCAAAAAAAATCTCAATTTACAGATGCTAACTCTATATAAAGGAATGTGGAAAAATTCGGTTCTTAAGTTAAAAGATTAAACATTCATATTTGGTATTTGAGAGATGGTTAACCAATATGTATGAATTTATTTTGTATCATGTTAGTAAGCAGTAAGTATATGGGTATTTTTTCCAACTAGTTTTGCTTTCTCTTTCTAGAACAAAATATTAAGGGATTATAGTGGTTTTCAAGTGAGAGAAGAGGTTTCAGAAGAAATACCGGGAAGCTTCTCCTTTTTCTCCCCACCATTCATCTTCATTAGATCAAATTATTTTGTGTAGCTTGTCTGGCCTCACAGAAAGAGCAGCTTCTGCTGTGTTAACCAGCTGATTAAAATGTAATAGGAAAATCTTCAAAGCTGGAAGCAACTTAGTCATCAAATACCAAGTGGAATGGAAATGTCAGAGGGGTTACTGTCCTGGGAAGTGTGTTGTGTGTCCCGAATGTGAGCAGAGGTCATTTGCTAACTTGGTGATAGACTACTTCAAGTCCTGGTGGTAGATACTCATTGGAGTAACTTTGGACTAAAATCCTCCTTCGTAATTCTTTTCCTATTATCTTTTTCCTCTAGTGTTGCCCAATTTTTCCTTTAAAATCAGCACAGCATTGTGTATAGATCTTTAATGTGGTATATGTGTCTGCCATTTGTCTGTTCCATTGATGTATTATATCTTTACAATAGAATTCTTTAGCCCCAGGGCCTACTGCTCCTTCAGCTAGCACATGCCAAATTATAAATGAATCCGGCTGGCCTGTAAAAGGTCTTTATGAGACAGTGCCCCAGTTGTCATGTGTTTGGGTATTTAACTGTTGCTACTTGCCTCCCCCTCACTCCTCTCCTCTGTGTGTGTGAACTATCTCCCTTCCTTTGTCTTTCTCTTTCTTTCTCATGCTAGGCAAGCACTCTTAACCACTGAGATACATCCCCACATCCTTTCTTAAAATTTATTTTTTTATATTTTGAGACAGGATCTCACTAAGTTGCTCAGGATAATTTCAAACTTGTGATCTCTCTCAGCCTCCAGTGGCTGGAATTACAGGTGTATGAAGTTGATTTCTCTTGATCTTAGCCAGAAGGCCAAGAAGCAATGTGAAGTTGAATTTCAAATGTAGTATTTTGTTATAGATGACCAGAAAATTGTGGTTAGGTTAACGGAGAAGTCTTGTATTCCGTCTATTAAAGCCATAAGCTTTTTATATTTCCTAGCTGAAACATTTTGGAAAACAAGTCTTCTTAATCTTGTTCCTTTAAAGAAGAAGTGTGGTATTTAACCATTGGGTTCCTGAGACTGAAGATAGAATGATTCCCTTAAGTTTTGACCTGCTTATATGAAATGTCTGGTTAGATTTAGGTTCTTGGAATTTCCCATATACTTTGGATGCCGATCTGTTTGATGAGTCATGTGAATCTTTCTGAGCTGTTCATTGCTGTTTTCTCTCAGGAGATTGTACTGTGTACAAATAAAAGCCACATGACACCTGCCCGTTGGATACTGGGAAACTGCCTCACAGATCTATATTGTATACAGTAGATGAGGAGGTCAGTTCTCTTCCCCTGCTGTGTGTTTATGATCTATGTGCCAGCTGTAGTGCTAAGGGTGTTATTAAAAGGAGCTCCTTCTGCACACAAGGAGGACCTGAGAGAGTCCAGGAGGAGACACGTGTTTCCTTGAGTGAAGCACTTTCTGGGTGTAAGTCCTGATCTGTGACACTGAGTTGAAAATTAGAGTGTGTGTAAAACCTTTTCCTGTTTTCATTACAAAACATGATGGTATCAACTCTTACAATGTCTACTTGACCTTCATTGAAGGCATAAAGCTTCAAAACTTCTTTCTTCAAGAATTGGAAAACTATCCTGGAATAAATCTTGTACAGTTGACTAGGCATAGGTGAGCAACAATTCATTGCTTTGCTGGATTTCTACCTTGGTAGTTGTTTTCTGTGCCTTCCTATAAATATTTATGACATTTTATATCCTTTTGTATATCACCAATACTGAGTTGGGTAAAAAGAAATAAATGGACAATTTTTTTAGAAAATGGGACAGTGAACTGAAATGTGTGTGTCTACAGGTTCAATTATTAATTTCCTGTGTGTGTTGCCTTGAACCATTGCAATTTAGTCTTGAGTTGTTGCTTATAAAACCTGCAAAGGTTTAACTCTTGAACAATTAGCTGTTGCCCTTGGCCAGACTATTTGGTGGGTGATCTGTGTTTAGTAATAACCCAAAGGTCTCTTTCTTTGTTGTCTTGGCTGTCTTTCTTCCAAAGTTAAAACAAAGGGTGCAGGTGCTGAAAGCCATCTTTTAACAGAGGTTTCTTTTCTTGCCAAAATTGTGTTTGTAAATGGATCATATTTTTCTAAACTAACAGTTATGTCTTTCAGCTTTACTTAAATGAGACCGAATTTCACCTCTGGGTAGCAGAGGTATTAAGGCTCTCTGCTTCCTGTATTACTGTCTCAATCCATAGTTGTCTGTCTTTAAAATCAAATAGTTTAAAAACACAGATGGCTTTCATTCACTAGTTAAGAAACTGACTCTTCTTAGCAAGTTGACCTCCATTTTTAAATAAGCACATTGTTTTGGTGTTGAGTAGAAAGGGGGTAGACACGTTCCTCTGTAGTTCTCATTCATGTTCCCGAGCACCCTTGGCAGTTGCTGTAGTGATGTACAAGTTGATGTGGAGTTAGCTAATAAAAACCGTTTACTGAGTGTCTGTTACAGCACACATACTGGAGATGAACTGAACAAGACAGTCCCTGCCCTCAGGTTGTTTACAGACTCACGCAGGGACATTTGGAGCGTGGTGCTGCAAGTGTCTGTGTGACACAATCACACGGGGTGTTTCTTAGATGTGTGGAGTCTGGGTCCACTTCACTGCACTTTAGGCTCAGGCTGGTTCTGAAGAGATACAGTGTTTAACAGAGTCTGAGCAGATGGTCTGCAGAATCACAGGGTGAGAAGGGTTTATCCTAGACTAGAAGTTCTCAGTCTTCACTATGCCGTAGGATCACTTGGCGAGTTTATTAAATCACAGATCACTGGTCTCACCTCCAAAGCTACTGATCAGTAAGTCTGGGGTGGGACCAAAGAATCTGCATTTCTAAGCATCCAGATTACTAGTGCTGCTTGTTAGGAGTCCATACTTTGAGAACCACTGTTGTTGATTTCTCGTGCGGTATGGTCTCATATGAGTATCTGAAGAATAAGTGCTATAAAGTGGAGTTCTCCCATCTGATTCATTTATTGGGAAGCTTGAGGAACACAGATTAGCAAAGGTAATGAAAGAATGGGAACAAATACACATGTATTCATATACTTCCCTTGAAGCTACAGCAGTTAAGATGTACATCGCTCTTACTCCGTTGCTTTCCCTTTACCTGGGTCTTTTTGGCAAACTTCCATTCTTTAGCCTTCCCACATATTCCCAGATAGATTTTGTTGTGTGTTTTTTCAATGTTTTGTTATCACATTGAATTAAACTGTATGCCTGCTTTCCTTTGTAGATTGTGATCATTCCTTCCAGGTTTTCAGCCATGATCTTTTTTACTTTTTAAATTTTTTTGGTACTGGGGATCGAACTTGGGTCCTTGTGCTTGCGAGGCAGGCGGCGGAACCACTGAGCTAAATCCCCGGCCCCTTCAGCCACGATCTTTTTTTTTTTTGAGACTTGCTAGGTAGTCCAGGCTGGCCTTGAACTTGTGGCAGTTCTTCTGCCTCAGCCTCACAAGTGCTATGATGACAGGTGTATGCCACCATGCCTGGCTTTCAGTCACAATCTTTAACAAGCCTATATTGGCAATCCTGAAGTTGAGAAGGTTGTTTCATTGATAAGATTGATGTCCAATTTTATCTGCAGCAAAACCTGACCTGAACTGATGTGACTGTGCTTACATGTTATTGCAGAGTATCTTTTTTTTTTTTTTCAGCTTTAATTGAGTTTATTGGTACATTTTAGGGATACAGTACAGTTACATTCATTGTTGGGATCTTGTACCTCTATTTGCAGAGTATCTTGATGAGTTGCTATTCCAGATCCTAGTGGGATATCATACAATATACATGAATATTTCCTTTTTTTTGGATTTTAGAGACAGGGTCTCACTATGTAGTTGAGACTGATCTGGAATTCACTATGTAGCCCAGGCTGGTCTTGAACTCACAGTGATCCTCCTACCTCAGCCTCCCGAGTGCTGGGATTACAGGTGTGCACCACCACGCCCGGCGAGTATTTCCTTTTTAAAATCTGAACAATTCTTTATTCTGAAACACCTGACAGAATTTTAAGACAAGGAATTGTAGACCTATTTTTATAAAATGCTGTTTAATTTTTCCATTCATTCTTGGCATTCTCTCATTGCCTGCTACACACCAGGCCCTGTGTGTGATAGGTACCACTGGTACAGAGTTACAGACCTTGTGCTCAGAGTTCATCTTGTGTGAGAGAAGTAAGTGGAGGAGGCAATTTTTGCTCACAAAGAACCCTTTTTGTGCTTATTTACAAAGTTGCTGTGTCTTGTTACTGTTGTCTCATAGCTGGTGGAGCAGCTGCTCTGCTTCTAGCCTGCTGTAATCCTTGTTGATCACATTTGTGCTCCCCTCCTATATGGATCTTGTCACTGAATATAGCTTGTCTTTAGATGTGCTGATGCTAGCCCACTTTGTCACCTGCCTTATTTTGCAGCACTTTACTGTTCCCCCTGCCCCCATGGGCTTTTCTCTCATTTCGCATTTATCTTACCAGATACTGTTGAGCTTGCCTTGCAGACAACCCTGAAATCCAATGGGTTGTCACTGCAGAGAAACAGTGGAAGATGACTTATGAATCACAGGTCTTTACACTGATAGCTTTTGAAGCTATGGTGAATCCTGATTAGTTTATCCTTTTAGCTCTCAGCCCACTAGTAAGAGTCCTTAGTAATATCTTTTAATATCTCATAGCATTAGTAATAGTTGACCTATCCCTTCCTAACTGTATCAATATTCTTGGTTGCAAGGACAGAATCTCAGCCTCAAATTAGCATAAGCATACAAAGGACAGTTGATCCTAAGGGCACAGGAAATTCTTGGTGAACCCTAATAGATTGGCTTTTAAGCCCCATGAAGAACCTGGAAAGCTCCCAGGTTCTTTAAAAAGTTCTGAGCTTCTCTTCATCGATACTTTAATTCTCTCTCCTTGCCGGTGGCTTTCTACCACTAGCTCTTGGGCCCACATGTAATAGAGCCTGACTCCGTGTTTTTCAATGCCAACCAAGTTCCTGATTGAAAGAAATGAACTCTAATGCATCAAGTATCCAAGGGTCTAGTTAGGCTTGAGGGACAAGGTTATGCAGTGCCAACGTGGATTCTGAGAGCCTACCTTTGTGGATGAAAATGATGTGGAGGGTGAGGGCAGTGCCCCGAGTCTCGGGATAGAAGACAAAATTCGGGGTTTAAGGCCTATAAAGGTAAGTTGGTAAAGCTTGTTCTGGGCTGGGCCCCCAGAGAGCTGTACCGTAGGACAGTGATCGCAAATCTTTTAGAGACAAGTGCTCAAACTGCAACCTAAAATCCACTTATTTATTGCAAAGTGCCAATACTGCAATTAAACCTGAATACTGAGGTTTTTATTTTAAGAAAAAACTCCCACATTAACATCTTTTGTCTTAAAAATAAACATGACATATGTTCACCACCACTGCCCTAGAAGAAAGAATGATAAGGAAGATAGTACAAATTGTAGTTGAGTTAGAATCCTCATTAACTAGGATTTAGATGATCTCTAGGTCCTAGCAGAAGCTATGATAAATCTAGGGCCAAACAACATGTTAGGTCTCAATTATATCTACAAACAAGTTCTCAAGTACACTCTCTGAACACAGTTAAAAATAACCAGCTCCTGGAGAGCACACTAACCAACAA